TAAGGAAGGAGTTTTTTGTAGGGCTGAACTGCGAGGGAAGGGAGCTGATAGATCCCTGACTGCTGAGGGAAGGAGCARGTTGTGGAGTCAGGCTATGAAGGATCCCTGACTATTGTAAGGGAAGGAGCTGTTTGTGCGGCTGGGCTGTGAGTGAAGGGGCAGCTCCAGGGGTTGGGCTGTGCTGAGAGAGAACCGATTGTGGGATCAGGCTGTGAGGGGAGGTTAAGCTGATGGGTCCCTGACTACTGAGGGAAGGGGCCATTTATGGGGCCAAGGTGTGAGCTGGAGCTGTGAGKGAAGGAGAAGGTGATGGATTCCTGATTGCTATAAGGGAAGGGCCCTTTTGTGGGACTGGGAGAGAAGGAGCAACTTGTAGGTCTGAGTTGTGAAGGAAGTGGCAGCTGATGGATCCCTGACTGCTGTGAGAGAAGGAGCTAGTTGTGGGGTCACGCTGTGAGGGAAGGGGCAGCTCCAGGGAACTGGGCTGTGCTGGGAGGGAAGGGGCCTATTACGGGGTCAGGCTGTGAGGGAAGAAACAGGTGATGAATCCCTCACTGCTGAGGGAAGGGGCCTGTCGTGGAGTCAGGCTGTGAGGGAGCAGGCAAACGATGGAACCCTGACTGCTGCAAGGGAAGGAGCCAGTCATGGAGCCAGGCTGTGAGGGAAGGGATGGGTTGTGGGGTCATGATGTGAGGGAAGGAACCGCCTGCCCAGGATGGGGCCATCTTGCCTCCTGGTGATCCCTGCTSTCTCTAATCTCATTTCCTCCCTGTAATTCTCCAGGCCCAGCTGTCACCTCTCCCTGCTCCTGTTTTTATAACCCCAATCTCTTTAAGTGTCCAGTAAGAGAYACATGCAAGGGACGCTACAGCCACTTGGGTCTGGGACTGAGGAGTCAGCGACAGCCTCATGTTCCTTGTGGATCACTGGGTAAAGGCCAGGGTGTGCCGGGAAGTCAGGGATGACCAGCACACTTCATACACTTGCCATGTTCCCCCGTCATCTCTGCCTGATCGAATAAAAACCATCTGTAAAACCCACACCAAAGGCAGCCTCGGGAAAAGGCACCTCCCGGCCGCTGGCGAGCGGGCTGTGTACAYAGGCAGAATGAATAAGTGTAAAAGGAGCTGTTTATCTGCAGAGCACACCCAGCCCGAACCTGGCTGGACAGACAGATGGCCTCCCACTGCTCTGCAGTGCCGCCAGCCCGGGTATGCAGGGCTGTGGGACCCTCCGTGCTGCCCTGGTGGCTGTCGCAACCTGACACCCTGCACAAAGCACCAAAGAAGTTCGTGTGCTCTCAGGGCTCCTGCTGGGAAGCCCTTCCAGTCCCTCCCTCTGGGGTCTAGGAGCTACCTCTTGTTCCCAGGCTGCGTGTAGTCACAGCCTACAGACAGGCGAGACTCTTTTGCCAAGGCTTTCTGCAGCTCGTCTCCTCCTGCAGGGCGTACCCTGRGATCCATCCGCACACCACTCTCCTTGTGCTGCCCTTAGCTTTTGTTTTTAAAGGCTAGGCACGCCAATTTGCTCCAGCCTTTTTTATTTTGTAAGACGAGCCTGCAGCCTCTTTCATCAGTCTCTGCAGCCCGTTTAGCTCTGCCAGCAAAACCAAACAAATTAGGAAAAGGGGGGGGTGGGGTGAAAACACCCTGAGCTACAGCAGATTTTACTGAACCCTCTTCCCCCATGGAAAGCAGCCAAGGGCTCATGGCTGGGTGAACAATCAGGGCCACCCCATCCCTGGGACAGCACTGGCACYCTTGTCYCAAAGGGACACTACACATGTGACAMCTTGGGGTGGAAAAACSCTTCACCAAACTCGAGCCYCTCGTGCCRTGCCKCAGCTTCTCCTGACACGGAGATTTATGCACCTTGTTTGCAGAGAAGTTAATTTTAAGCGCAGCAAAGTTGCTTGCCCAAGGTCACAACGTGAATTATAAGGATTCCTGCACCGGGAGCTGAACAAAAGGACCCAGGCATAGCTGCAGTACTGCAAGGATTTTTTCTTATATGTGCAGTGGTCCCTGTCATGTCATGGCCAGCAGTGATGCCACAGCATTGATCCATCCCCTGGATCACAGCTACACTGTGTATAGCAGTCTGTAAAATGTTACTAGATGGATATAATTGGAGTACGGGGAAGAGAAGGCTTCAGGGAGAACCCATTACAGCCTTSCTTCCAACACCTTAAGGAGACTTATAAAATGGAAGGAGAGAGACTTTTCATTAGGCAAATAGTGACAGGAGAAAGGGCAGTGGTTTTAAAGTGACAGAGAGCAGGGTTAGATTGGATATTAGGAAGAAAATCTTTACTTTGAAGGTATTCATGCCCAGCACAGATTGCCCAGAGAAGCTGTGGCTGCCCCATCCCTGGAAATGTCCAAGGCCAGGTTGGATGGGGTTTGGAGCAACCTGGGATAGTGGAAGGCATCCCTGCCCATGGCAGGGGGTGGGACAAAATGATCTTTAAGCTCYCAAGCCAGTCTGTGATTCTATGATTCTATCATGCAGTGTATTCAATGCCTGCAGTGCCAGGGCACCCAACATTCCCCCCGGTGATCTGGATTCAGGAGGATTTTACTCACTGAAGTCACAACSTGTATTTGCATTCCTGCCACCCTGCTCACCTGCCCATGCCCCAGAGTCACTCCTCTTATCTACTTGTGTGATGAGTCACTGGAGCTAAAACTCAGAACAGCTAAAAAAAAAAGCAAGCTAAGGATGCTTAGTAAACTGCCACAATTCACTTTCTGCTATTTTTGGCTATTGTTTTGCTTGAAAAAAATTGTTTTGAAGAGTTTTGTTGTTGCGATGGAAAATCTCACTTCCTCTGCATTCTGTCTGCTCTCCCTTCTTCCTTTTTTCCTTATTAAAAGGGAAATGTAAAAAGAGGGAAGAAAAACAAATGTCAAGACAAGCTTTATAATAAAATTTTCCTTTCAGATGTCACAACATTCCCATAACTTCAAGGAACACRAAATTTTCTGACAAAGAACATAGTAGTTATTAAAAAAATAAATTAACGATAAACMTTCCCCAGCAACACCTGAGCCATGCTCTGCCAGCAGCACAGAAGAGCTTCAATCATAGGTGCTGGGAGAGCAGCTSTGAGTGGCATCACATGTGGGCAAAATGTGCCCACGAAGGGCTCAGCTGTGGCTGCAARTGCTGGATTACCAATACATGAATTGTGAGAGACACACAAGGCTCCATCRTTAAGTCACAGGCATTGTCTTGTGACATAAATGTGTTCCACTCGTGGCTTTCCAGGAGTTTCCAGCTGCACCTGGTGACACGGAGGAGGCACAGCCCCCACCTGACCGTGCCTCAGTTTCCCCCGCGCTGGGACTGAGCTGAGCGAGGGGAGCCGGGACAGCTCAGGGAGAGGCACCGCGGAAATGCCTGGGCATAGCTGGGCCGTGACTGATGCCGGGTTAACGAMGTGAGCGCGGCTGGGTGAGGCAGAAGCACGTTCCCCTGAGGCAGTTTGCATCCTGCGAGGTCATTTCCACCTGCCCTGCYGGGGTTCGTGGCTGCAGGGGAGAGGGCCGAGCATGGTAGGGGCTGCCCACCACCCAGAGGGGACACCCAGAGTCTCTCCTGCTCTTTGTTGCAACATGAGGAGTCTTAGCACTCACATTCTCTTACTTTAGCTTTTCCAGYCTCTTTCCCCTCCTACTGGGGTTGGCGAGGGAGAGACTTGGGTGAGCCAAGGGGAGGCACTGGAGTGGCTGTGATGGAGGGGGAAATAAAGCAGYTTTGTGGAAGTTGGCCTTTAGGTTTCTTAAGTTTCTCTCTAACTAAAATACACAGATGTGAACAACTAAGGAGGGCTCCCTGTGCTCCATACTCCACTGATAGCTGTTCTGCATTCCTGTGTAAGCACAATCCATTACGCTGATGTATTTATATTACACTTAGGTTTATTACCTTTCTAAATAATTTTCCTGCTTCACTCAGTGCCTCACCACTTCTCAGCTGATTTGCTGGCTAGTCAACTACGTCATCTGATACCAACAGCAATAACAATTACTCATTTGTTTCAGGCTGACACCTTCCAGCAGTTCAGGCAGA